CTTCATTCTGGGGGTCTTATAGTTCTTTGTTGGGTCAGTGAGCAAGTGTGGGGCAGAGCAAGAAGGCCTTGACTTTTATCCTCATCGCTGTTTCAGGAGGCCTACTTCAAGAAGCACAAGTTCAACACGGTCCCAGGTGTCCAGCTCAGGAATGTAGACAGGTAGGGATTGGCAGCTGGCCAGGGGGTGGATAGCTGAAGGCTTGATGACCAGTCCTTGCTAGTTCTTTCCTGTGCAGGGTATTTACCTCAGCCCTGCTGTGCCTTTTCCCCATGTGACCCTTTGCCCTGCCCATTCCTTTCCATGGACCTGAGGGCCTCACCTTCCCTTGACTCATTTCTCCCTTCCCTTCAGTCTGAAGAAAGAAGCTTATGAAGTGGAAATTCACAGGCTGCTCAGGTATGGCCTAGGACAATTGGGATGCCCGACAGGGGGTAAACAATTTATGGGCACTACAGAAAATGAAAACTAGAGTTCTCTAGTGCAAAAATTATAAAGAATTTCAAAATGACTGGGCAGTGGAGGCACATGCTTTTAATCCCAGCCCTCAGGAGGCAGAGGCAGGCAGATCTCTGAGTTTGAGGCCAGACTGGTCTACAGGGCGAGTTCCAGGACAGCCAGGGCTACACTGAGAAGCCCTGTCTTGAAAAAAACAACATCAAAAAAGAATTTCAAGGTAGTAGCAACAGAGCATTAAATCAAGCCGAGGGCCCTGTGTGCCGCACACTTGTCTTGGCCTTACTTTTCTATTCTATCCCCAATGCAGTGAAGCCGAGGTTTTGGACCACAGCAAGGACCCTTGTGAAGACTCCTTTCTGCCAGACACAGAGGGCCATACCTATGTGGCCTTCATCCAAATGGAGAAAGATGATGACTTCACCACCTGGACTCAGCTTGCCAAGGTGCCCCAGGGCCTCACCTACCTCAGGAGCATCCTCACCAGCACGCATTGTCACAACTAGCAGAGAGTCTTTGCAGTTTTCAACCTCAAAACTGTCTCATGCTCTCAAGAGCCTCTTCCTGGCCAGGTGGCCTGGCCTGGTATGGTGGGCTAGCCTTTAATACAAGTACTTAGGGAGGCAGAGGCAGGCAGATCTCTTAGGTTTACAGAGCAAGTTCCAGGACAGCCAGGGCTATACAGAGAAACCCTGTTTTTAAGAAACACGCACACACACATAGAACCTCTCTTCTAACCCCTTGTTCAAATCCATACTTCAGAGGATCTTTGCTCTGGAAGACTGAGGCAGCTGCTAGAGCTTCAGTGGGCCGTCTCCACAGCTTCCTGACCCATCTCTTTCCCTGCTCTATCCCTGCCAGTGCCTCCATATTTGGGACCTGGATGTTCGTGGCAACCACCAGGGCTTGTGGAGATTATTTCGGAAGAAGAACCACTTTTTGGTGGTGGGGGTCCCAGCCTCCCCTTACTCGTGAGTCACCTTTTCTACTCTAGGAAATGTCCTCCTGGGGTTGAAGCATGTTCTCTTCTCTGTGTCATTCTTCTGTTACATTTCAGAGTGAAGAAGCCACCATCAGTCACCCCTATTTTCCTGGAGCCACCCCCAAAGGAAGAAGGAGCCCCAGGGGCCGTTGAACAAACATGAAGCCTCCTCCAGGACCCTGCAGGGCTGGGTACTGTGTACCCCCAGGCAGGCTAGCCCGTCGCCCTATCCCGTAGGATTTTGTAGATGCTGGTAGGGGGTTAGGGCTGGTTTGTTTTTAACATGAGATTTAATTACTAACTCTGAGGGGAAGGATCCCCTGATCCAGCACCCCTGTTCCTGAGGTTAAGGTCTATTTATTACTTCCTTGTTGGAGAAGGGCAGGAGAGCGAGCACCCAGGACCTCTTTTGGATCTCTGGGCAGCTGATCCTGCCCTTTTTACACCCCATCCTCCCAGGCCTGGCTCAGAATCTAACCTATTTATTGACCGTCCTGAAGGCCTTGGGAATAGGCCCGACCTGCGGCCTTTATTCCCCTCTGGACCAGGACACTGCCCTGAGGGTGGGACTGGCTCATACTCAGGAAACTGCTGTGCCCAACTGATGGCAGGCCAGTTGGGCCCATGTGCTGACAGACTCACTCAGAGACCCTTAGACACTGGACCAGGCCTCCTCTCAGCCTTCTCTTTGTCCAGATTTCCAAAGCTGGACAAAGGTGGTCATTGATTAAAAAAGGAGAAAACCTCTGGGGGTGTATTTTGTGGTAGTTTTGTGGGGAGCACGGTGTGGCTGTGGCGGTGAGGGGGAGAATCATCTGGACAGATGGTGAGGTGGTATGTTTTTGTTTTTTTACTGCCTGCCATATTGTGAAAGCCATTTGGCCACCAGGGGATGCCCAAGGCTAAGTTTCGAGTCTTTTGTTTTTGTTTGTTTTAAGCAGGCTCCACCCTGGCACCAGTAGACTTTATCCCTTCCTTATTCCCGCCTTAGCAATAAGCGACCATCTCACACCCCTTCCTCCCTGTTCACTATCAGGCTGGTCCCTTCTTTGTTGGTCTGGGCCCAGCCCCTGTCCCCAAAAGTGCAGTAGCCAGAAGAGACCACAAAGGAATACTTAGGGTTGGATGAGGGACTGGGAGAGCAGGTAAATAATGGAGATGGGAAGTGACTGGGCCAAAAGCAGTGGTGGACCCAGGGCTGTGGGGAATGATTTTTGTAGGATGCACATGGAGTAAGCACATGGAGGGGCAAGGGTTTCTATTACCTTCTGGATTGGTTGTGTGCAGAATTCCATATAGGGATGTTTTTCTGGAAGAAAGGGCTGTGGTTTTCATCAGATTCTCAAGAGGCTAGTTACTCAAAAGAGCATAGGAAAGTCTGAGTTAGTCACCAGGAGATGGACAGTATGGTCCATTGGGAATCAGATAGCTCAAGGCAGGGGAGCATGACCTTTAAAAATAAGTCTCTGACTGAGTAGATTGCATTGTAAGAAAGGTTATATAGATCTTTTGCCAAGGAGTCAGGAACTTACTGGAATTTCTGCCCCTTATCTGTTCTCTGTCCCGGCCTCTCTTGCCAGTGCCTAGAGCTCTGCACTGCAATGGCATCAGTACAGTGGCTTAGACGTTGCTCACCACACTGACTGCTTGAGTGTTTGCTGGAGCTAGTGTTTCAGTCTCAAAGCAGGCACAGGAATAACAATTATTCCGTTAGTCCATGATGAAGCCCTCCCTGGGCAAGTAAATTCCCTTCACCCCATCCCTGCTTTCACACGGGTACCTGTGGGAGGAATAGAGTGACTGTATGTGATGCTGGCAAAGGGTTGACACCAACTAACTTCTCTCCCTACCTAGAACTCTAGTACATTCTCAGGCTTCCCTGACTGAAGCTGTGTGGCTCTGCCCAAGTTTTTGCTTCTTTTTGGGCCCAACAAATGGGTGATAGTTGTGGGACATGGATGGTAGGGAGGAGGGGAGCCAGTTAGACTATCCTGTGGCAACAGCCTTCTTAGTGCTGCCACGTGGAGTTCAGAGATATTTGTTTTATTTATTTGTGAGACAGGTTTCTGTCCTGAAACTCTCTCTATAGACCAGGCTGCCCTTGAACTCAGAGATCTGCCTGCCCCTGCCTCCCAAGTGCTAGGATTAAAGGTGTGTGCCACCACCATGTGGCTTTTTTTTTTTTTTTTTTAATAAAGACATTCAGATTTTTGTCAGGGATGTTATGGTCAGGTCCTTCAGGTTGGACATCACTGTACCAAGCAAGGTCTACCCAGTTGCAGGAGTCAGTCTGGTTGAAGTCTTGGCCTCAGCTTTTCAACTGATAAGATGTGGGACTCTGGCAATTAAAAGCTAAGTAAAGACTAGGGATGTACCTCAAGCAGTGGTATGCTTCCTAGCACACATGAAGCTGGGTGTGACCCCCAGGTTTTATGTGATCCCATATAAAAAACGTGTGGTGACATCTACCTGCAAACCCAGCACGTAGGAGATAAAGGTAGGAAGTCTGTGTTACTCTCAGCTATATAGAAAGTTCAAAGCCAGGGCCTGGAGAGATGTCTCAGAGCCCGAGCTCTTCCAGAGGTCCTGAGTTCAATTCCCAGCAACCACATGGTGGCTCACAACCATCTTCAATGAGATCTGGTGTCCCCTTCTGGCCTGCAGGCATATATGCAGACTGAAGACTATATACATAATAAATAAATCTTAAACAACCCCCCCCCCATTTTAAAACAACAACAACAAAAGAGAGATGTTGGCTAGGTGTGATGGTGCACAACTTTAATCCCAGCATTCAGGAGGCAGAGGCAGCAGATGTCTGAGTTGCAGGCCAGCTTGGACTACAGAGTTAGAACAACCAGGACTACGTAGACCTTGTTTCGAAAAGAAACAAGAATAGCTAAGTAAAGGAACCAGAGCTGTTGGTGTCCATTGCTGTAGGGAGACTCACTAACTATAAATACACTTTCAGCCTGTACATTAAGTATGCTACCATGACCAACCATGCCATACTCTATAACTACCCATTTCATGTTCAAGATCAATGGGACATACCTGCTATGCCCAGCTACCCTCGGCACAAATCTGGATTGGCTGGAGAACATGTTAATACTCTCATTGATGGGAGAGACCCTCTCTCCTGTTGCTCTCCAATAAAAATGTGTAAATCAACCCCCCCCAAGATACACATCTTTAGAGCAATGGATAGGCCAACACCAAAGATTTAAGATTCTCCAAAGTAGGGCACACAGCTTAGAATTACTTATCAGGGTTCCTGGAGGGCTTCTTGGAGCCCAACAAGTGACTTCACCCCTGCAGCCCTGACAATAATCCTGTTCTCCCCTTCTTGACTTGGCACAAGCTTGTTACTTTCATAGCTTTCCAGTCCAGTGCCCTTCACCAGGAGGGAGGACTTTCAGGACAAAGCCCTCTCATGATACATACAGGCAGGCCAACCCAGCTCCCCCTTCCTCAGGGCCCTCCCTCCCTCCCAGGCCTGAAGCCCTCTTTCCACCCTACTGAGTCTCCAGCCTCACAAAAATCAGTGCAATTTACAAGTACACAGAGTCCAAATCGAAATATTTTCATTGGTTTATAGGTTCCAAAATGCCTTTTACACATCCATTCTGTGACTTTGCTGGACTCGATTGTGCCCAGGCTGTAAGTGCCATCATCCACCAGTGGAGTGCTGGGATCATCAAGAGCAGCGTTTATACTAAGGGAGTGGCAAGGGTTGAAGAGGATACTTGGAAGGTGGGCAGAAGTAGCTGCTTCAGAGACTCTGGAAGAGATGTCCCCTCAGCCCCGCCCCAGTAGACCAAGGCAGACACAGCCTGAAAGAGGTGGTCATGTTTCACCCAAAGTCTAGAGCAGCAAAGGCAAATCCACTCCAGCCCAAAACAACATTGTTAGGTTTCATCTCCACCAGGACCACTGCTGCTCAGCTGTACCTCTTCCTGGTTTCCATGTGGCAGCAGCAAGTGGCAAGCAGAAAGCAGTCTTATTTCAGATTGCAGTATAGATACATGGATACAATCATGGCAGCCAGCTGGTGGGGAGGGACAGGGAGACGTGAAAAGACACCATGAGACCCTTAAGGATTGGTTTCCTACCCACACTGAATAACTTCATGAAGTGCTGCTTTCTCGATGGCAGAGGACATGCTTGGCATCCCTAGGCCTCTGGGTTCAGTCCTCAGCTCCAGAATAAAAACACAAGAAATCCTCCTCCTCTAGAGAAGCCTCACGGATGGGCTAATCTGTACAGGTCTCCTCGATGACTTACCTCCAGGGCTGCAATTCCAACTCCCACACCACCTGCGGTGACTGCATTGGTTCTGATGTCATGCAGAAGCTGTTTGAAACACCCCTTGGGGGAGGGGAGAAAGTATTATAGCTGGCAGTGCCCTACCTCCGACCCATTTACTACTATAAGGCCATTAAAGCAGTCCCACCCATGCCAGGCAGTAATAGAGCACGCCTTTAATCCCAGCACTCAGGAGGCAGAGGCAGGTGGCTCTCTTGAGTTTGACGCCGGCCTGGTGTACAGATAGAGTTCCAGGCTAGCCAGGGCCACCCAGGGAAACCCTGTCTCAAAAAAATAAACCCTTCCATGTCAGCCCATACCTGTACTTCTAAATCTTTGGCCTTTTCCTCATTGCATGGTTCCTCGAGTGTCCCACTGGTAGAGTTGAAACAACAGTACGGAGGAAAGACTTTAGTCTCTTGGAAGTAAGTTGAGGTGTTAAAATCTGTGTAGTTATTGAAACCACAGCACTTCAACTGCAGACAAAATGGGACTGGTGATTGATGGTGCCTTGCATTTTTCCTCTCCACTCCCAAATCCTCCCAGCCCACCTTACCCCTTGCATGGTAGAGTTCCACACTTGGGTGAATTCAGTCTTGTAACCATAGTCTGTTTTGATGGCAGGCACTACAAACGATGTCAGCAATTGTTCAGCCTGGATGGGTTGGGCCAGTGTTAAGAGACTTAGGGAAGATAGCCATTCCCTGGCCACCAGCTACTTCTTGGGGCTTTGATCAGTTTTTCTCCCTTGCCCCAACCCTGTGCCTCACCATTGTGGTATACACCAAAGCAACCACAGCAGCTGCAATCTCAGCAATGAAGATGATGAGGAGGATGACAAAGAACTGAGTGGAAAAACAAGGAAATACGTTTTAGGGAAACTTGCCTTCCTTGCCCATTCCCACTAAAGAGGCAGGGGAGTCCCTATGGTGAGGCTCCCGGAATCCAGAGTAGGTTTTTGGGATCCCCAGAGGCTGATGTCAGGGATGAAGGGACCTTTGGTTGTGGCTTCACATACCATCAGGAGCGCACACTTGTTCTCAGAGTGAGCACCGTAGCAGCCCAGGAAACCAAGAATAAAGACCACAGCACCAGCCGCAATGAGGAAGTAGCCCACGTTGACAAACTGCATGGCACTTGATGACTGTGACCCAAACATCTTCAGAAAGGACGTCCCATCAACAGACACCCAGATTCCCACAGCCAACAGGGCTACTCCACATAGCTGGAACAGAAGTCAGGCTTTGAAACAGTGCTAGCAAATGGTTCCCCTTCACACCATCAAGTCTGGAAGCTTTCACTTTCCCTGACTAGGGAATTTAACAAACTATTGTGCATGGAGGGAAACATTAACTAGTACCAGGAAGACTGGAACTAGGGCACATAACAAATGCACCAGTCTGTTCACTGAGGAAGGTAAAAATGAGATCAGGGGTTCTAGAAACATCCACAGGCTCAGAGGAGACACAAAGCTTTCCTTTTTCTGTAATCAGGGTCCTGCCACATAGGTAAGAATGAAAACGGGTCCAGTCTCTCATTCTTGGGTTGTGGGTGCCTAGAATACTCTGTCCTCTGATACTTGGAAGCAGGCAGGTGGTAGTAGTATTGAGCTGGCTGACAGTCACTATAGTAACAGCAGGGTGAGGCTTCCACCCGCTTGCAACCTTGAAAGAGGGTAGAGGTTGAGAGGTTCACCCACCCAAAGGCCGCATTTGATTCCCCTCCAGAGTGGAACCACCTGTCACTCCTTTTTCACCTAGACTACTGCCTTGACACTGAAAACAGAGGTTGAACACAAGTACAGCTTCTCTTCAAGACACCCACCAATTTACACTCAGCTTTCAGAGGTGAATTTGAGGCTCTGAGGATGGGTTCAGTGTAGACCCTGATCCCACAGCTCCTAGCAAACCTTTGCTGACCCTAGAGCTTTGGTGGGTCAGCACCGGGCACACAGCTCCCATTGTCCAGCTAAAGAACTGAGTTTGGGATGAGGGTAAAGAAATATATATTGTGGCTATATCCCAGGTTGTTTGCTTAAGGACAAGAGAGCTGAGCTTCCAGCCTACAGGGTCAAATTTCAAGGAGCCTGGCTTTCCTACTTTGTTCTGCCCAGTCTGGCAAGGCCTGGGCAACAGAGGACAGATACCAAACTGGATTTGCCTTTAACTCTATCAGGCCAGAATCCTGGCTCTCCCAGTTGTTGAAATCCTAGTACTTCCTTCAGTTATATGAATAAAACCTAATTCATGGAAACCAAAGGAAGTTCAATGTACAGACTGCATTGGAATCAAAGAGACTACCTACCCTGTGCCTCCTCCTTCCCTTCCTTCTTTCCTTCCCTCCTTCCCTTTGGTTTTCAGAGACAAGTTTTCTCTATACAACAGTCCTAGCTGTCCCAAAACTCACTCTGTAGCTCAGGCTGGCCTTGAACTCATAGACATATCCTCCTGCCTCTACCTCCTGAGGACTGGGATTAAAGGTGTGTGCCACCACCAGCCCAACTCCTGTGCCCAATTTCTTTAAACTTGTGCACACTTCATGTCTCTGCTGTCTCGACAACTGTTTCCTTGTTCTCCTTGACTCCCTCCCTCCCTTCCTACAGTCCCAAGTCTCCTTCACAGCGGAGGCAGCTGTTTTTCTGCTATCTCTGATACTTCCAGTTTCCAAGAACTCACTTTCTTTTAGATCGAGGGCTCTAAAATATTCACCGGGGTTGGGGAGGGGGTGGAAGACAGACTTTCCCTTATTGTTGCCAGGGTTCCACCCACCCCTATAACTCCATTGGCTGCTCACAGGCCCATGACTTTCAAATATCTGAGCTCTTCCACTGAGTACACAGGAGCCTGGGGGATGACCCCTTCTTTCTCCCTGCCTTGTTCAAGCCATTTCTGAGTCTTCTTCTTTGTTCTACCACCCCTCTGCAACAAACCCCTTTGTTTACTATATCCCTTTTTCTTATCTCTGTCATTATCTCCAGGGCTTGGACCTCATGGCTCAGCTTCTCAAACAAGTCTTGTATAATCTGCTCCTGGTTTTCTAAACAATATCAAATTTCATTACCTCTGGGCCGCCTACGCACTTTACAGCTCCCCCACCCAATGCAAATTTCCAGCTTCAGCAACTTCCTCCAGGAAGGGTTTTCCTACTAGGCTAGATTCAAACCCCTCCAGGGGCTCCCTGAACCTTGGTGGTAAATCTGAAAGTACCACTTGCAATTATCAGTGTATATAACAATTATCAGCCTATTTGACTGATCCCAAGATCTTCAAGGGCAGTAAATGGCCTTGCTTGCCTTCTACCCTAGCACATAGCATACAGTGTTAGTGGATATGTTTTCCTTTTTATTTGTGGCCTCAGGCATGGTAAGGAAATAGTGTACCACTGAGCAACAATCCCAGTCCCTTAAATGTCAGCCCACTCAGTAAATGTCTTTTGAACACATAAGGGTTTCTTGAGTCAACTCTAAGAGGCATGGATTCCCTCTCCTTTCAACTTTTCCACGTATGACTGGCGCTTTTGCACTATAAACTTAAGCAGACCCTCTGTCCTCTCTGAACCTTGAATGCCTATTAAAAAGGGGGGAATCACTCGTGCTAGCCTACCCAACCTACACTGATCCTTCCTAGAAGGGAAGTGAGAGCCTTACGCTTCTCCATCCCTAACCTCCCATCTTCACCCAAACTCCTGCATGGCAGCCAGGCTATTAGTGGGGTCAGGAATCAACAATGGGAAGACTCTTCGCTTCCTATTCATAAAGGAGAATTTGGAGGGCAGAGTCTGGATATATAGTCTTCCATTCCCCAGCTTGGGCTCTGTTTAGATTGTAACCTGCTTTTATAGGGGACCCCCCCCCAAAGCCCACAAACTCCATACTTACAAAGATGAGCAGGTTGAAGAGGAACATCATGACCTTAATAAATTTGAAGCACTGCATGGTGGCTCCTGGGAAACAGACATGTACAAATCAGAGCCTACACCCCACCTTCCCTGGGCTGGTCCTGCCAGAGTCCAACATCCTGTGGTTCCTCACAAATTTCTGACCCTGTGTCTGGACTCTGACATTGAAGAACTTTCCCCAGTTCCCACCATGCCCACCTATACTACCCAGGCACCGTTACCAGAACTTAAGTTTCTTATCTTCACCTCCCAGACTCTCACACAGGTATTACAAGCCTGACTCCCACACTGCAGGACACTTGTCTTTCCTAGTCCTCTTCCTAGATCAATCTTTACTCTTCCAGTACCCTCCCCTGGCTTTTTCCAACACCCCAAACCTGTTTCCACATTGGTGTTCATTCATAGGTTAATCTCTGCCCTATGTGTTCACCTGCTCAGGGCTCTTGATTCTAAACAGGATCTGCGGCACTCCTGAAGGTACAGAGCAGCTCCAGGAAGCTGCCACTTACTGTGCTGGCACAAAGATGAGGAATGGCCTAGACCTCACACAACACTGCTCACCTACAGGTGGGGCAGGTGCTTTAAAAGCCTCCCGTTGCCCGCCCGCTGGCCCCACCCATGGTGGATCAACCTCCTTTGCCCCTGCTGCCCCCTACTGCCTGGAGATAGATTCCCAACACCAAAAGCAATAAGTAAATCTCCACCTGGAAATGTTGCCTATAGGCTCTACCTCTCCAGATCTGAGGAAAGGGGTTTAGGGGGCAGCAGGGTCTGGAGTAGAACAAGTGCCTTTCCAAAACTTCTGTGTGCCCTGCTCACAATAGTGTAATATGATTCCTCCCTCAGTGTTTATTGACACCCCTATCTGCTCAGGCTGCCACCCATATGTTTACACACAAAACTCACAGTCATATATATATATAAAGTGCACTGGTAGCCAGGTGTTGGTGGTGCCCGCCTTTAGGCCCAGCACTCGGGAGGCAGAGGCAGAGGCAGAGGCAGAGGCAGAGGCAGAGGCAGAGGCAGGCGGATCTCTGTGGGTTGGAGACCAGCCTGGTGTACAAGAGCTAGTTCCAGGACAGCCTCTAAAGCCACAGAGAAACCCTGTCTCAAAAAAAAAAAAAAAAAAAAAAAACAAAGCAAGTAAATAAGTAAATAAAAACATAAATAAGTAAGTAAATAAACCAAAGAACCAAAACAAAACATAGACTGGTACTCCTGAATGTGTGCACATGTGTGTGCGTGTGCACTCCCCACACACACATATGTCTGTCTTTCTCTCTCTCTCACACTTTCAAGGAAATGGTCCCAGCGTGGCAACCTTCTGTTCTCTCCTCAGAAGAGAAAAATAGTTCTTTGTCTTCTTCCTTCCATAAAACCTCAAATTCCCCATCCTTCTCTTCCCTTTATCTTTTTTTTTTTTTTTTTTTTTTTTTTTTTAATTATGTATACAGAGACCTGCAGGCCTCTGCACCAGATCTCATTGCAGATGGTTGTGAGCCACCATGTGGTTGCTGGGAATTGAACTCAGGACCTCTGGAAGGAAGAGCAGTCACTGCTCTTAACCCCTAAGCCATCTCTCCAGCCCTCTTTTTTTTTTTTTTTAAATATCCTTTTGCTTTCATATCCCTGATATGTGAGCCTAGTTCTCTTGGAGGTCAGTAGAGGACATCACCTCCTGGAACTGGAGTCATAGGAGGCTTTGAACCACCATGTGGGTGCTGGAAATCAAACCAGGGTCCTTTGCAACCTCTTAACCTCTAAGCCATCTCTCCAACTCCCTCCCTTCATCTTTTTGCTCCTCACCTTTTTCTCTTTTCCCCTCTCCATGTTCTGGACCTCTGTGCATTACCCTGGTCATCCTGCCAGCAGGTGGCACTGTGTGCCTACAAAGGAGACATTCTCATTCCAAGGTTCTGTAACTCTTTCTGAGGCTTTGATTTCCCAGGCCACTCACTATTCCTGCTTGAGAGGGCTCTGATTTCCCAGGCCTCTATTCCTGATTAAGTGGGTCTTCACAAGTTCTTGCTCTCCAGTTATTCAGGTCAGGGGCTCAGATTCTGGTTGTGTCATTTCTTAGCTATATAACTATGGGAATTTTTTTTTTTTTTATAGTTTATTTGTTTTTTTTTTTCAAGACAGGGTCTCACTATATACCTCTGACTATCTTAGGAGTATGCAGACCAGGCTAGCCTCAAACTCACAGAGATCTGCCTGCCTCTCCCTCCCTCCCTGCCTATCCCAAGTGCTGGGATAAAAGGCATGCACTGCCAGGCTTGTTTATTTACTTTATTTATTTATTTAGGTTTTTCGAGACAGAGTTTCTCTTTGTAGCTTTGGTGACTTTGGTGACCAAGCTCTTGTAGATCAAGCTGGTTTCCAACCTACAGAGATCCGCCTGCCTCTGCCTCCCGAGTGCTGGGACTAAAGGTGTGCAACCAACACCGGGCTATTTATTTATTTATTTATTTAGAGACAGGTTTTCTCTGTATAACAGCCCTGGCTATTCTGGAACTTGCTTTGTAGCCCAGGGTGGCCTTGAACTCACTTCGATCTTCCTGCCTCTGCCTCCTGAGTGCAGGGAAAGGCGTGTGCCATCACTGCCTGGCTGTTTATTTACTTTTAAATTTAAATTTTATTTAATATGCTTGAGTGTTTTGTGTGCAAGTACATCTGTGTACCATGTGCAGAGGCTAGAAAGGGGTTCAGATCCCCTAGAGCTCATGGTTGCTGGAAATTATACCTGGGTTCTCTGGAAGAGCAGCAAGTGCTCTTTATCGTTGAGCCATCTCTCCAGCCCCTATTGGTTTATTCTTCAATTTTTGTGACAGTGTTTATATAACCCTGGCTGTCCTGGAGTTTCTGGTAGGAACCAGGCTGGCTTTAAACTCAGAAACCAGCGTACTTTTGCCTCCAGAGTGCTGAGATCATAGGTGTGAGCTACCAGGTCTGACTTTATTTATTCTGAAAAGTCTCACTCTATAGACCAGACTGGACTCAAACTTGAGGCAATACTCCTGCTTCAACCTTCCAAGTGCTAGGATTGTAGGTGTGAACCACCACACCCAGCTAACTTGAATTCTTGATCTTCCTGACTCAGCCTCCCAAGTGCTTGGGTTATAGGCATGCACACCCTATTCTGCTATGTGGTCATTTCTGGGATTTGTTTTTTTCAGTCTTTGTTTCCTAGTCTATGTAAGAGAATAGCTATGGGGTTTTAGAATCCGTTTTCTTCCCTGCTCCAGGGCACAGAACAACAAGCACTAAGAGGCCAGAACAGAACGGGGAGCACTGCTAGAGGAATGTGGGATGATTTAGGTGAGGGATGGTGGTGGTGTTAAAGTGTGTGTGTGTGTGTGTGTGTGTGTGTGTGTGTGTGTGTGTGTGTGTGTGTGCATGCTCATGCACCTGCCAGGGACTGAGCCCAAGGCTCTGCACAAAAAGACAAATGCTCTACCACCTGAGCTACATTCCCTGACCTAAGGAACTAGATTTATTTTTACTACTTTTGTTTTGTTTTGTTTTCTTGAGAAAGGCTATAACCTAGCTGGGCATTGGTGGTGCACGCTCTTAATCCCAGAACTCGGAAGGCAGAGGCAGGACTATCTCTGTGAGTTCGAGGGGGGGGGGATTTCTAACTTCTACCATAGCCAAGGAAGTGAATTTTTATTGGTGTGTGTGTGTGTGTGTTCACATGTGTGGTGCCTGCAAAGGCTAGAAGACAATAGCCTTAGATTCCCTGGAGCTGGAGTTATAGATGGTTGTTGGGAACTAAAGACTCTTCTGCAGAAGTAGTGAGCATTCTTAGCTGTTAGTCACCTCTCCAACCCAGAAGTGGAGTTTTTAGTTTGTTACCTGTGTGAGGAAGGAGGAAGGTGTAGAGACAGAGAGAAGGGGGTAATAATATCCCAGATAATAAGCCAGTGGGTCATACTTGTATTACCAGCTACTCTGGATGCTGAGGCAAGAGGTTCATTTGATCCTATAAGTTTAAAACCCTTCTGGGCAAAAGATAGTGAGATCCCATCTCAAAATTTAAGCAAATGGTTTCATGCCTGTTATCCCAGCACTCAGGAGGCAAAGATGTGTGGATTTCTATGAGTTCCAGGCCAGCCAGAACTACACCAGACTATACTAATAAAACATGCCTTAAACGTGCAATGGTTTTTGTTGTTGTTTTGGTTTGGTTTTTTTTCCCTTCTGCACAACAATCGTATGAGAAAGACTTTCTGCTTAGGTTGTTTTTGTCTGTTTATTTGGTTGGTTAGGGTTTTTGTTGTTGTACATCCTAAGTAGCCCAACCTGGCCACTGACTCTGTAAAGCTAAAGATGACCTTGAACTCTTGATCCTCTTAGCCTCCATCTCTTCCCACATGCTAGGATTATAGACCTAGGCTGCCACACCCATTTTAGACTTTCTTTTTTATTCCTATTTTAAATATGAGGAAAAGCAGAAGCCCAGAAATCTTAAATTCATGTTAGGATCACATAACTTGTGAGCAATAAAACCAGAGCTCAGCCTAGCCTATCTTAAAAATTAATAGAATCTCTTATGAGGCAGGCAGGGTGATTGAATGAGGGCAGAGTCGCTCAGCTCATGGGGACAGAGGTTAAAAGTTAAGGACAGCAAAGTGGGGGATGGTGAGACCCCACAATCTGGGACCTGAAGTTCCTGAAGGTACAGGAAGATGACAGAAGAGAGAGAGTCTGGGTTAAGGGGTGAAGAAATGGGCAAATCCTAAATTCCTCACTTTAGCACAGGGCAGGGTAGACCTAACTTTCCTGACTGCTTCCTACAAGAATGGGTGAAGCCAGAAATAGCATCTTCTACCCACTTTTCTGCAGGGCTTTCTTTATCATCTCAGGAGGAACTCTGGGAGTTCACATTCTTCCATGTCCCTGGTTGTTATCAAATATCCTGCATGAACAAAATAACTGAGCATAGAATAGCAAAAGGTGAATGCCTTGAGCTTTGGGGATCTTGGCAGTTATCAGATTCGAACCCCGACTGCCTCTAATTCTATGACTACACCTCACCAAGGTGATTGGATTCCTTATATAATCAGTCAGTCTTCATTATTCAGATTCCACATCTATGAATTCACCTAGTCACCACATTCATTTGTAACCACAAGACCAATTCTTGTGTCACCTTTGCAATTATTCACAGAGGATATACACAGAGGTAAAAGCTCTAAATGCCTGACACACATTTCCAGCAGAGGTGTGTGAACTAGGAGGATTCTCTGCCCACGGAAACATGTCTCAGCTCTTATAAAACAGTGATTTTTTTTTATTCAAATGTTTTAGGTTTTTCCTTTTTGGTGGTGTTGTTGATGAGTATTATATCATTAATGATGTTGCTGGTCCAAGTGGCCCCAGTGGTGCTGACATACTATTATCTAGTATTCCTAAGCACAAGAGAGTGTTGATATGCTTTAGAGGGCATGTATGTGTTAGATACCCGACCTCCTTTTTTTGGGGTAGGAGGGCAGTTGAGACAGGGTTTCTCTGTGTAGCCCTGGCTGTCTAGGAACTCGATTTGTAGACTAGACTGGCCTCACACTCAGAGACCTGCCTGCTTCTGCCTCCCAGGATTAAAGGCTTACACCACCATGTTAGATAACTTTGATTCAGACAGTTATGTTGCTGTTGCTCATGAGTTGAGTGTTAAAGACTCAACACTACATATTAAATGAGATGACTCGTTGGAGGATATTGGCACATTACTTCTAGCTCTTGGGAGGCTGGGGCAGGAGGATTGCTGTAGGTTCTGGGCCAGTCTGGGCTACAAAGCAACACCTTGTCTTAAAAACAAAGCAAAGCCAGGTGGTTGTGGTGCACGCCTTTAATCCCAGCACTTGGGATGCAGAGGCAGGTAGATCTCTGTGAGTTCGAGGCCAACCTGATCTACAGAGGGAGTTCCAGGACAGGCTCTAAAAGCTATAGAGAAACGCTGTCTTGAAAACCCAAGGGGGCTGGAGAGATGGCTCAGCGTTTAAAAGCATTGACTGCTCTTCCACAGGACCTGAGTTCGATTCCCACCACCCACGTGGCAGCTCACAGCTCCAGTTCCAATGAACACGAAATAAAATAAATAATTTTTAAAAAGAAAAAAAAAGAGGTAATGAATGATCCAGTATTATTGTTTGTTTATTTGAGACATGGTCTCACTATGTAGTCATAGGCTGACCTGGAACTCTTTATGTCAGTGGTTCTCAACCTTCCTAATGCTGTGACTCTTTAATGCAGCTAGCTCCTCTGGTTGTAGTGACCCCAACCATAAAATTATTTTTGTTGCTACTTCATAATGTAAATATCTGATATCCTACCTCCAAAGGGGTCTCTACCAACATGTTGAAAACTGCTGCTCTATGTAGACCAGCCTGGCCTCAGACTCATAGAGGTCCTCCTGCCTTTGCTTCCCAAGGGCTGTGATTCAAAGTCCCACCTTCAACATTTGTTAATCCAGAGTTTATGATGACTTTGTAAACCTCCAACTACCGGGAAGAGTGAGCATTAACTTCTGTAAATAAGGTTAATGATAGAGTCCCCTCATAGGGCTGAGTTCAACGAAATCATGTTTGTGAAGTACTAAGCTTAGTGTCTGGCACACAGTAGGTGCTCAATAAAAATTGTTAGTATTGTTAATGTGGATGAATAAAAATAACCAAGTGAGGGGGCTGGAGAGATGGCTCAGTGGTTAAGAGCACTGCCTGCTCTTCCAGAGGTCCTGAGTTCAATTCCTAGCAACCACATGGCGGCTCACACCCATCTGTAACAAGATCTGGTGTCCTCTTCTGGCCTGCAGACACACATGCAGGCATAACACTGTGTACATAATAAATAAATCTTCAAAAAAATAACCAAGTGACCTCCCCCACCTCCCCCACCAGAGTTCCTTTCCCCAAGGGACCAAGCTGTGGTTGACTGGCTGGCTCCATGAAGAGGATTGTGAGGAAGTCTGATCTATGTATGGGTGGGGGGATGGGACAAACCTGTAACAAAGAGCACCCCCCTTAGGCAGGCTCCATATGTCATAGAGAACTCAGTTGTCCTGGCCAGCAGAGCCCCTCAGAAGCTCTTTACAGTCATGGGGCCCTCTCAGCTTGTCCGTGCCCCTAGGCCTAGGGGCATGAGTTCTCCCTATCGAAGGCCAGGTATGGGTGGACACAGGCGCCGGTGTCCCAGGATGTTCAAGTATAGCCGAAGAACATACCGGCAGAAGCCCCGAAGTCCAACTGCCACCAATCTTGCCACTATGGCCACAAACATCAGTAACACCAACACTACTTCCCCCAGTGTGTGGATACTCTCACCTCAAGGTCAGTGGGGACTGTGGGCTGGGGAACCTGTGACTCAGGGTGGGGATTTGAGAAATAGAAGCATTCTCTGTTCTGCTTAGGGGCTCTGAAGGACAGTTTGTGAAATTCCATCCTAAGGGTTAAGAGCCTTAATGAAAAATGACTATGACAGAAATGGAGTGCTTGAGGGAGATGGGTCAGATGTGAGGTTTCCACACATGCCTGTTTTCTTCGTGTACATGTATGTGCACATGCATACATTTGTGTTTGCATACATGTGTAGGCCAAAGGACAACCTTGGATGTCTGTCCTGTTCCTTTTTTGGAGACAAGGTCTTTGTCAAGTAGGCCAGGCTGGCTGACCATTGAACAGGAGGGATCCATGTGTCTCTGCCTCCCCAGTGCTGGGATGATGGGCATGTGCCACAATACCCAGCCTTTTCACCTGGAGTCTGAGATTGACCTTGGGTCCTTAGAAGATTAGGGCTTCACTGAGTTATCTCCCCAGCCTCCAACCGCCATAAATGCTTTTTTTTTTTTTTTTTTTAAATATTCTTCCTTTTCTTTTCTCTCTCCAGTTCTTAGACATCTCTGTCAACCTGGGGGCTTTCTGATCCTCTAGAAATGCCCAGAAGCTTGGCTTGCACTGGACCCGCTCCTCCAGAGGGCTGCTGGTGGTGAACACCAAATACAATCATTCTGCTTAAGTTGTCTTACTCCATTCTGGAGTCTTCCAACTATGTGGGACATGAGGGTAGGGTCAGGGCTGGAGAGCTTTAGAGACAGCTCATGTAGACCACAGTTACATAGTGGAAGGACAAGACAAAGTCAACTAGACAAACCCATCTTTGTCCTCAGCATTTTGATCCACCCTGTGAGGTAAGGGGCTCTCCTGCCTTACACTCCCATGGGCACAAGGAGTCTTAGAAAGAACCAGAAGGCACAGAGAAGAGAGAGACTGGGTGAAAGACAGAACCCCACAAGTGCTCTAGTATGAGGTACACTGGTGCTAATCAGTGTGTGAGACAGGAGACTGGGAGCATTAAGCCACATGTGACTAGATCGGCCTCTGTGACTGACTGCTTCTGTGGTCAGCTGTGAGACTCAAGGAGCGCTTGAGAGGCAAACCAAAGTGGAATTGGCTCAGCTCAGACTGAAGGTCAGGAGGGGGAGGGGCAGCCTGCAGGAGGGAGGGAGTGCTGAATGGTTAGTGTAGGACATGTCACCTTCAGCCCCCAGCCACTCTCTGAGGTCAGCGTTTTCCAGGACTGCCAGCTGAGCTGGGGCACTAGGGGGTGGGGCAAGGCTGAGTTTGAGCCCAGGAACAGGGGAGGGTGTTGCGCTCTGTCTGGCCTGGGAATTTTCCATTTGGATTTCTGAGTGCGTGCCCATGTGTCATAGGGTTTAACTAGGTTTCTGCTCGCTGTGTTTCTGTGGGATTGTGTATAGTGGTAGTAACATTGTGAGAGTCTTTGTCTCTGATGAGTTGATTTGTGCATGGGCTGGTGTCAGGATTAGGGGGCGAGAATAATCCCTAAGACCTTTGGTGGCCTATCCTCTGGGGTTTAAGAAGTCTGGCTAACATCATTTTCCTCTTGTGAGAGGAAAATGAGTTAAGTACATCTACTATAAGCCTGCCAGAGCATAGGATCCTGAGGGGAGGGTTAGGACAGATAATGCAGTCACACTGGGTCCAGAGAGTGTTGGCTCCTTGGTATGGAAACAAGCTGCTGGACATTAATTGCACCTAGAAGGTAGTTGGACTGGTGTTCAAGGCCCATAAAGGGTCTGTACATACAAACACATGACATAGTCTACTAACAAATACAGACTGGTAAATAATATGTGGACTCACATATATACAACATAATTAGCAAATGCATGTATTCAGGCCCATGCTATAAACAGAGATCAGCACTAACAAGAATGCAATAGATACCCACCCACCCCCTTGCAGGAGGCATGCCCATACACAGACACAAACATACATAGACCCAGAAACAAGAACACAAATGTATAAACTTAGACACATACAATCATACTCTTGCAAACTCAGACACACGCACCTAGACACACTCACCAGACTTCCCTGCCCTTGCAGTCTGAGGCCCAAATGCCTCCTTTCCCAGTATCACTGTGTGTAGTGTGTGCATACATGTCTTTGCTTATGTCTGTGTGTATCTGGGTCTTTGAATGTGAATATGTGTTTCTCTGTATGTGTGTGAAGGGGGTGATAAGCAGAGGGAACTCGATGACATCATCTCTTCTAGCTATTTTTAGCTCCTTCTGCAATGACTTTTCCTCCATTACCCCTCCTCCTCCAGGTTCCCAATTCTCCTCCCGCTTTGGGATCTCAGAGGAAGCAACAGCCAGAGGTACCCACTCCTTCAGTTTAGGTGCACCCCCTGGACGGTTGGGTGCAACTCGCTCTCTTTCACCCCACCAGAATTCAGTGGAGGTTGAGAATACAGGGATGATTCCCAGACTAGATGAGTGGGGCTTGAACTGTGGGGCAACCGGGAGCAGGGGGCTTGTGTTAGGTGAATTGACCTGGCTGGTCGGCAACTCAAGTGCCTATGCTTCTCGGCCAACTGCTCTGACTCAGTAGTGCCTGTTGTGTTTAAGGCACTAGAGATGAGACAGGTGAAGGCAATGAGAGGTCTTCCTCAACGGGAGATAGAATACTGGGAACCTGGCAGCTTCAAGGATGACGCCTGTTTCTTTCACTTTCTCTTTTCTTCCCTCTCCCATACGTTAGATAACATAAGGAATCCAGAGGGAGTCCCCCGGCGCGCGCATACACACACCCCTTACCTTGCACCCTTCATCCTAGCAATTCTACCTAGAGATTTCCACACCAACCCACCAAGCAAACGATGGGTCCTCTGCTAGTCACATCCACTTTTAAACACCCCCCCTCCCCCGAGTTGCTCTGTGGGAAGGTCTCTGTTCTCCATCTGGAGATGGGAAGACTGAAGCCCGGAGGGGGTAGCACAGGCCCACACCTTATGGCGCTGGGGGAAGTAGCTCAGGGGAGATGGTGAGCAGGTGGAGAAGGAAGTGGTGGCTCACTGGGACAGCTGGCACAGGTGCAGAAGGCACAGCCCAGGCAGGGAATCAGGTGAGGGGGAGGAGAACGGTAGCCTGAGGGGTCCATGCCAGGAGGAGGGCTTCCCGCTTTAGCCAGCCTTGGGCAGCCACCGGAAAATCGGGTTTGGCAGCTTCAGCCCTGTGCTGGGCTGAACTGTTCTGCCGGAAGGGCTGGAGGAGGGGGTCCAGATTGCTCCTGGGAGGTGGCCTGAGGCACGACATCCTCTTCAGAAACAATGAAGTTCGGGGAACATTTTAAGATCTTTTGGAATGTAGAAAGAATAGTCCTATACCCCTGTTTTACCCTAAACCCTACTGTGATGCTTTACTAGTCCTGGTTCCTTTCTTTCTTGGTCAGAGGGTTCCCACAGGAAGGGGCTTTTTGAGGTCAGGTTCCATGTAAGTTTTTCTGGGAGTCTGACTCAGGCGAAGGCCGAATAGGAGAGGGTCTGGCTGAACCAGACGATCCCTGGGGCAGGTGGCTGGAATTGCCTTGTCACTGACGGGTCAATCACCGGAAGCCCAGCTCCAGGCCCACAATACAACGCTGGTCACCCCACCCTTACCAGTGCCCTTACCCACACCCCCACTTCCGGCCTCTGTTCCTTCCTCATCTCTGGAGAAGGCTACAGAACCCCCTAGGGAATCTCTGTTCCCTTGCCTGGCTCCTTGCCCTGGCTTAACTCTCCCTCCCCTGTTACCCATTCAACAACACCAGTCTCTCACTAAACTGTTCCCCTGGACTCTGGGACAGGCCGGAGAGGACTCTAAATGAGTTTGCTTCTCCTCAGGTTCTGCTTAGATAAAGGGCTTGAGGAAGATAGGGTGGGTGATCTGAATGCTGGGGAAATTCCTCTCTTTCCCTATCCATCTCCTTCTTCTGCCTTTAGAGGAACCCTCAGAAGAAACTCCAGCATTGAAACGCATCTTGTAGAAAATAAACACAAAAACCCAGGCCAAACGGGCACTGGTTGTTGTTACCATGTCAACCACAAAATTTGTGAAACATACGCAAAAAAAGTCATGAAATGCTGGATTCACAGAGTCCACAGTCATAGAACCTTGGCACCAAAGAGTTTTACTATAAAATTTTAGAAGCTGAGGAATCTAGAATGGTGGCATCTACTGAATCCCACACACTCCCATCCCACCCCACCCCCACACACATTAGAATGAATGTGCCTAAATTAGAACTTTGAGATGTCAGGGAAGTCTCATATTCAGGTGGATGCCGAAGTCAGATTCTCTGCTGCAGATGACAAATCAGCTCATGCATGTGCTCAGTGGGAGAGGCAGACAGCCTGGGGTGCAGGAGGTTAGACTGACATAATAACGGCCATAAACTGGACAGACGTAGACTTTGTCTGAAGACGCATTCCCGAGCACAGGGGAAGTGAGTTGCAGGTGGAGATAGAGTGGCTATAAAAACAAGGAAACAGCTTAAAGAAAGAATCGTGGTTGGGTGTGGTGGCACAACTGTAGTCCCAGGGATTTAGGAGGCTTGAGGGGAAAATCAAATTCATGAGTCTAACAGCAGCCTGAGCAACATAGCAAGACCCTCATCACTAAAGAAAAAGGAATGGGAGTATCACCAAGAAGCTTAACATAGCAGCCCAATCCTAGAATCTCCGGCTTCTCTATGATTGGGGTTAACTACAGTCGAAGACTTTTCGGAAGGTTAGCAGGGTGCAGTGGATCAGGAGGAGTCCAAGGCCAGTCTCAGCTATATAGTGAATGTGAGGATAGCCTGGGCTATATGAGGCCCTGACTCCAAAACAAAACAAGGAAGAGTAGTGGTGGCGAACACCTTTAGTCCCAGTACTCGGGAGGCAGACAGGCAGATCTCTGTGAGTTCGAGGCCAGCCTGGTCTACAAAGCTACATAGAGAAACCCTGCCTTGGAAAACCAAAACAACAACAAAAACCCCATACTCCCCCAATCCCAGCACTCAAAGGCAGAGTTTGAGGCCAACCTGGTCTATATAACAAGTTCTAAGTCTCCCAGGGCTACATAGTGAGACCCTGTCTCAAAATTAAACAAATCTACCAAAACAATAAAAAACATTTTGTTATGTTATGGGGGAGTCCTTACTACATTGCAGGTCAATAACCCCATGGAAGACTATTTTTTATTATCCCTGGGAGAGGCAAACTTTATTTAAAGGTGTTGAGCCTTGATTTACATCAATACCACATGTATTTCAGGTAGCAAGGTTCAGAGTCCCCACAGCAAGGTCCCAAGAGAGAGTTGTTGAGGGCATCTATCTGAGATGCTGCTTAGAGGAGCTGGGCATCTAAAGGAGGAAGCCAACCAGAGGCTTGGAATATATATATAGCTCAAGTAATCCAGTGTTTGACCCTCAAAACCACAAAAATAACAAAATATATTGAAGTTAAATGAGAAAGGAGACTTTTATTTGTTCGGTTGGTTTTTGAGACACAGTCTCCATATGTAGACCTTATTGGCCTATATTGGCCTGGAACTAACTCTGTAGACCAGGCTGACCTCAGACTCACAGAGATCTACCTCTGCCTCCCCAGTGCTGGGATTAAAGGATGCTGCCACCACCTGGCTCACAGCCAACTAATCTTTTTCTTTTCTTTTTTTCTATTTTCTTGGTT